GAGCAACAAAACAATGTGGCAGATGTTCACGGTGCGTTCACTGACTCTTCAGAATGTTGGAAATCCAAACTGGTGCCAAAGGGCGTTTTCAAATATTTTAAGAGGGAGGAAATGCACTGTAAGACTTTATATGCAATTTGGCATCAATTTGTTAACCCAACAACTTGTGATACAAGTCAAACAGCTTTATTAATCCTTCACAGTGTTTCAGGTGTGTTTTAATGCCTGTTGTTTCATGCATCCATGTGCTCAGTGCTCAGAGTTGCTGGGGTGGGTGGAGCGTGGATTTCAAAGTGGTGCACAGCAAGTGTGGGCAGGTTAAAGCAGCTGTAATAGCACACTTACGTGGGATAGCTACTGGGATGTGTAGGAGGCTGTCAGCCTGAGGCCGAGCACTAAGATCCACTGATGGCCTACCTGGACCACGGTTATTATAGTTAAATAAACCTAAACTAAAGACAAATGTGGAAAAAAAAAACCCCCAAACATTTCAGCTAACTAATACATCAACAATTAAAACCAAGAGAAACCATTATTTCTAAAATAATAAGCTGTAATAACTCTGACCTCTGTCTTTGTCTCCTTCTGGCCACTGTGCGTATCTTTGTGGTGACTCATGCTTGTGATCATCTTTAGGTCATTTTGTGTCTCTTTGTAGTGGAATTGCATTTCTTTGTGGTAGTTTTGTGAATCTTCTGGTTGGTTTGAGTCCCTTTATCTCTTTGAGGTAGTTTCCAACCTCTTTGTGGTTATTTTTAGATCTTTTTGTGGGGTGGCTGTAGCTACCCCTAGGTAGCTAGATAGGGCACATCATCTACTAAAAAAAATCATACTATTAGAATAAAAGAGTAATAACAAATATGTTTTATGCTGTCATAAATAACAGCTAATAATTCTAATGATAGCAGCTTTTACAGTGGAAGTGGAATACGTCATACATATATATGGATATAAGAGAGGTATTTTAATTATTGCACTTTCCACCTAAAGTACATGTTGCACAGGGATCGACAGAGTTTATGCTGGGCCTGATGGCCCATGGGAGAAGCTGTTTTTTTTAATCTGCTGGTCCTCCTTTTTATGCTCTTGTATCTTCTTCTAGAAAACAGCAAGCTAAAGAGGCTTCACAGGGGGCCTGTACTCTTTAAACTTCAGTATAATACAGGAATGTCAAACACAACTACAGCCAGACCAATTCAGTTTCATGTACTGTAACCAGTGAAACTGTCCTTTTGTGTCAGTGTAACGAAGTTTAACTACACATTTAAAACCTGAGATGTCTTAGTAAAAGAACAAGAAGTTCAAAATTTCAAAACAACTGCAAAACAAAAAAAAGTTGCCAAAAAGGTTCTGGTAGCTTATCACCAGTTTTTAACAATGTTTTTGTTAAATGTTATTATCCTTTGTCTTTTTGAGCACCATGCCCACCCCAAAGTTTCTCATTCACTTGTTTTTCCTAATGGAGTAATGATGTAGTATGAATGTCGCAAATGCTTTAAAACATTTTAAACCAGAAAATACAGTTAAAAGTCCAAAATTTATGCCCTCATTCACATTTCCCATAACCATGCCGGATGGCGTCTTTCTGG